TGGAACAATCCGTCATGTTCACTTTCCTCCGATGACCAGAACGTTATATGTCATATCATGGATTTGCTCACCTTGCCCCCAACACGATTATCTTCAGACATACTAGGAAGTCGCGCGAACAAGAGCTGCACAAGGTCAACTAGAGTGTGCTCTGCTGATTTCCGCAGAAGCTCTGAAAGCCTCGTTTCAAAGCATATACGAAAGCACGATTGCATGATTTCACAAACGCTTTCGTTTGTTAAAAGGCATCCAACATCTGCGAGTAGCAGCGTTCTCAACACTTGCAGAATTTTCATAAGTACGACTTCATCATTTGCAGGATCAGTGCCAACGAATCTGGCGTGCGTAACAGCGTCCGCAATATGTTGAACGGCAGCAGAAGACGATGCTTCGTTCTTTGGATTGATCATGCCATACGACAAAAATTTGTTGACTGACGATAGCGCCAATCCCGTCACTGGCCCAGTAGTATCTTCGGAACGAATCACGTCAAGGAATGGGCCAAGAAACATGTTCGGATCCAATTCTTGTAAATTTTCTACGAAAACGAGGGATTCGCCGAGATCGTAGAACGATTTCAGAAGTCCTTCCTGGGCAGCATCCTGTAGATCACAAATGAAACCATTCATAAACGTACAAGCAATAATTGGCGTGGCGAGCAACACACCTGTTGAGTCTGTGATGACCACATTGGCGTCCGCCGCATTGCTGTCATTATTATTGTCATTTCCCCCTGAATTATATGCACGCTGCTCGCGGGCGGCTCCATCGTAGAGGATGGAGTGCTTGACGCGAGCTAAGAGAAGGATCAATTTGTAAAATTCTACAATTTCATTTTACTGGTAACTTCAAATATACTGTATCATAAGCACAAATGCATTAACACGAATAGTATCTACGCGTATATAATCGGGATATACGAGGGTGGGTTCATATGTTTTGGAAACAGTCTTTCGTCATCATTGGAGGCGGACGAAATTTTTTCATTTTTCCCTTCAATCCTTCATCAGTTTCTGATAATGTTTTGCCCATCCAGCAACAGATGGAAACAAGAAAAAGACCTCACAGTAACAAACTTCACTTCAGCGGAGGACATAAACTGTGAGATATTTTCCTCCTTGTTTCATCTATAGCTGGATGGGCAAATAATCGTTAGACGCTGATCAAGGATTGAAGAACAAAACAAAATATTTCATCCGCCTCCGATGAAGGCAAAATATTGGTCCCAAGACTTGAACCAACCCTCGTACGCACAGAGGAATTGGGAACACGGTCTTCACTTCAACAGCATTATTCCGCTTCGATCTAACATCCTTCTAAGCTGGATTATCCTTTCCATTCACCATTTACTTTAACGGCTCAACTTCCACATCGGCGCTTTCTCAAGCATCACCCCGCGACATTCAAAATCGACCTCACTTCCTAAGACCGCCCAATAACCCGCCCCGCTCTAAAACCTCCAACACATCCGAAAACCAGCTGGAGCCCACTGGAAACCTTATTGGGCGCAGCCATGTTTCACTGCGACTGCCCTCTATCCATCAAATATTGTTCTACTTTTCCTCCTCCACAAAACTGACCTTACGAATTCCTCCAAAAGAAGCATGATTCACCTCTGTTGGCTCTGTGTCATTAAAAATAATTCATGTGGACTCCACAAAAAATTCAAGGTACTGTACCAAAAAATCGTTGCAGGGACATTTTTATCATATTATAGAGAACCCATGTTACATGCTGGGGAGAGAATTTATATATGATGCCAAACAAAATTTATTGTACAGAGAAATTTTTTATAGATAAGATTGATCTATAGATTCTATAGACTATCTCGAGAGAGTCCACCTGCTCTATTCCATCAGCAAGCCTGGAACAGTTTGGCAGAAAGGATTGAATAAAAAAATTAATGCTTTCTACAAAAAAATTTGCCTTACAAACATTCATTTTCTCTAACCTTTGGATTTAGTTGTAGACAGTATATAGTCTATACTACTGGCTTCCAAAAATATATATGCATCCGAAAACTAATGATGAAGATTGTTGTATGCTGTTGTCCCAGTTAATTTCCCAGTCTTGACACTTTTTCGACATTTCTGCTGGAAAAAATGTTCATGAATTCTCATACGTTGAAGAGAGAATACCTTATTCATTACCTATAGAGAAGAACCATCATTAAAAATATTCCCATTAAAATCTAATTATGACTATCAGGTACCTGATGACATGCAGGAATTCCACTACATATTATACGGACAATGAAGGTCCAAGTACCAATTACGGTATACATCTACTTCTGGGGGTCTCACTGTGCATTTGAAAATCAAACGCATAGAGATAATCTGGAAACGGTCAAAAAATGCCATGCAAATCAATAATGCATAACTATGTTGTCCTGTACAGTGCTGTATAATAACCCAGTTAATTGCTCAGCTGCTGATTCAAACATCGGCACGTATCATTTGCTGTACACAGTACAGTATTATGTACAGCAAATGATATGCCGGTGTTCTATTTACTGGTGAAAATCCTCATGAAAAATCCTCAACCCCAATTTCAGGAGGGAAGAAAAAATTATATTATGTACAGCAAATGATATGCCGGTGTTCTATTTACTGGTGAAAATCCTCATGAAAAATCCTCAACCTCAATTTCAGGAGGGAAGAAAAAATTATCAGGTCAACTGTGTTCATTCTTGGTTTTTTTCATGTTCTTCGTGGAAAGAGGCGGATTGATGTGTGTGACTGTTTTTTTTACTTTTATTACAGCTCTGTGGAACGCTTCGCAGTCGCATGACTGCCATTTTCTTGGGGGGTGGAAAATTGCTGGTTGAAGTGCACTGAGCCGATGTGTGCAGGGGATGGTGCAATGCAGTTGATTCGTCGTTTTGTACGTCGTTTTGAAGTTTTCCTAGCTCGAGGATGACGCGACACGTCAGTGTTGCCACCGGCTCCATATAATCCGAAAACTTTGGGAACTCGACGTTCAGTATCCCTCGCAAGCTCGACCGAAACCAAGTGGTGTGTCGGCGGTGAGTTATCGCAGTCCAGTATAGTGCTGTAAAATAAGAGACTGTGGATTCCCATCAGTCATCCTTCCTTGTGATCATCAGTATATGTAACTGCTGATGGAGTTTCTTGCATTCTTTTACAGTTAAGGCGGACGACGAGAGCATTTCGTTTGATCAAGTTGTTTTCCACCGGTCCAAAATCGGAGAAGGAGGAAACGTCGTCAGCTTTTTGAAAGGACGCGTGATACTCCATATATACATCAGCATATAGACAACTGCTGCTCTATACAGTGGATTTGCTAGCTGTACCTTCCAAATAGCAGGTGAGTTTGATCCATTTTTATATCTAAGACAAATGAATGAAGCTAAACCAGCAATCTCAGGGGTGATTACGTATATCATCGAGCATCTTTTTGTACTGCGGAACCTTTTTCCTATCCATTGTATGTATGACTACGTCTGATCATTTTTCAATATAATAAATTAAGCCTTCTAATCATTAGCTAATCTATTTCTGCTAGAGTAATGCAGGAATAAAGCAAAGAGTAAAGAGTTTGTTCCGCCTATAATAATTGTAAGGTGGAGGGTTCCTGGCCCCTGGGAATAATCAGGATTTCGGGGGGGGGGGGGGGGATTTCAGTTTGACCCAAGGTCACTGCTGAAGTGAACCCAGGTTGGGAGGGCCTAAGTTGGGAACTTTTACTGCACTGCTCATTTGGTGGTTTGTTATTATGAAGTGACTTTTTTTCAAAGAAAAACAGAACTTTCTCAATCGGGTAATTGTTTCTTGTTCATTTTTTTAAAGAAATACATTTAAAAAACCAGAATTCAATTTCCAAAATATCTTCCAATTGAGGTGCGTATATGCGTCAAAAGTCAACTCCGTTTCAATCTTCTGCTGAGGAAGGGAAGTACATTTTATTCAGAACATTTACCTTACAGCAGGTGTTTCCCCGGGAAGCAGTATAAAAGCTGGACATTTTCCTCTGACGATTCATTGGCATATATGGGAGGACTTTCAATTCCCGGGGTGATGAGAATCCCCTATCTCTTGTTGCTGTTGCTGATTTCGGGAAGTAACGGTAAGCAGAACAACGCCTGCTTTATTTTTTTAAAAGAGGGATTATCCTGAAATCCTCATGGATTTTTTTTTTCCCTCCGCATGACTTGTAATAAACCATAGGCTCTGCCACAAGAAATGATAAAACCAGGGGAGACATCAGCCGGGCCATCAGCGATCCAAAGGATGGCCAAGCTCAAGGGATTCTTGGGGCCGAAACAAAAACACAGGAAGGGTTACCAACACTCTCGAATGGAAGGTTCCAATCTAGGTTGGAAGGTGGCGTTTTGGAGACGAACATCAGCACCCTGGCACCTTACGTAGCACTCCTTCGAGTACTGTTCCTGGATGACAGCGGCCATGACACGCTTGGACTCCTAATTTCAAAGAGGTACGGAATATCTACTGCTTTTAAAAAGGATCAGTCTCTGAAAAATGTCCCAGGAAGGGATGCAATCTAAATCAAGCAGGATTTTAAGGAGTGAATATTTATTTGTATATTGCTGTGTTCGGCACATTTTCTCTCGATTTCCAAGCATTGGTGGGCTGCTTTCACACCGAAGGCTGATATTCACTGCAATCAAGGAGAACAGTCAAAAGTGCCATAATATTTTGCGCATGCAAAGATAAATGAAAAAAATGAATGGGCCATTCCATGCGTAGGTTTATATTGCAGAAATGACATGAATTTTTGAAATACATGTACTGCAGTACTATAGTGTCCATGAGCATTGAAAATTCAGAGGAAAAAATAACTTTCAAACATGAACCTTCAAATATATCATTATGAATTGTACAATCATTTATTTTGAATGATGCTTCTCTATTCCCCAAAGCACCAAGGAATTTCGAAATTGAAACATTTCATTTTCTATGATGTTATATTCCAAAACAGACCACAAATTCGGGTCAAAATTCAAAAGTAAATTCCAATTATGTTAAAATCGAAATCCTCTTTCTGCTTTCAGTTTCCACACTTTGACTTTTTTCAATGGAAAATCTCCATCCACTAAAATATTTTGTAGTGTTGATTATGTTTTTTGAATCAAACGGTATACCGTAAGAATTCAGAGTTTTCCCATGTTTTTATTTAAATGGAAAAAAATAAAGCCTCCAGGAGTGTCTTTTAACTACTAAGCTAAAAAATCTGTTTCCTCTTACTCCTTTTCAATTTTTTCTCTTCTTTTGTTCGAGTCGTTAGTCAGTTGCAAAGCGGAAGGGAAAACAAATATTAAAGTGCTGCTCTTCGAGCTTTAATTATATTTTAATTTTATTTGAAGTCTTTTGTCATTTGTCGAGACTTTATACAAATTTTCCGTTTAAAGTGTTAATGGTCCAATTAGAAGGATTTAAAGCTCCAGACTTGTGAAGCATTAAACTTTTCATTTTGTGTTCAAAAACTCACAGTCGGTGATGAAAATTGAAGGTACTTTGTGGCTTCAACAATTTTTTGTTAGGATTGATTAATTAATTGTCATTAACAAGTTACAAATATGTGTATTTCATAGCCTTACATGTTCTAGAATGGGTTAACAAAGAATAAATAGCCATCATTAACCTTTAAGGGAACCTGTTTATAAAATCTTGGAGCTGGTAAAGTTCATTTAATGAGTAACAAAAGTGTAGAGCCCAAGGAACAAGGGGAGTCATGGTGATCATATCCCATTGCTGCCCCCAGTAACAAATAGGTGTGTATTTCCAAGTTGCAGAAAAATTTTCTTTTTCTGTTCAGGTTCATGAAGGGGTTAACCAAGAATAATTAACCTTCAATGATCTCCAAGGACACCCTTAGGAGGTTCACATACACTATACATTTAATACTTTTTTCTGTAAAGACAGAGGTCATGAAATTGCATGACCCATGCATGTTTCTGCCGGTTTATGCTTTTGTGTGCATATAGTTTCCCTTCATTGAGGCACAAGCTGATTCTGGTTCTTATGCTACAGACATGTCCTGTGTACCGTCGAGGCTCTCCTAGGAAGGAAATGGACCGGCAAAGGCAATGCATTGAAGGACATAAAAGGAATATATGTCTATCTTGCTGTAGGCACAAATGATGAGGAGGGCTTCCAAAACCTTCCACCTTCGGACATCATTTATTACCCCAATTATAATTCGTCTGGAAAGGTGATTCCTGACGATGACTCGGTGAAACGGGAGGTAGCCATTGTGAAGCTGCCCTATGATTCCCGAACGAGCCCTCTTCCTATTCAATGCAACCCTGGAGTTAGGATCGAGACTGAGGTTACAGCAGTCTTTGATTGGGTTAAAGTTGGCAGTGAGTGCTGCAGCCAAGTTTGCATACTCATGAAGACTCATACTCATCACTCATTCTCCATTAACCTTCATTACAGAGGGACGTGACTTGTTTAGAGCACAGTACCTTCGTGTGCAGTGTCCCCCAGCTTATTTCAGCAAGGATTCCACAAACTGTTTCCAGCTGTCCAACATAAGCGCTTTTGATGTGAATGACATGGTGAGTCATTTCTATAATTTTCAAGGTCTCCAGCTGTGTTCTGAGGAGACAGCTTCAAGTGTTTCACTGTAGCTAGGACTATCAATATGCAAATTGAGACCCTGAGATGAAGGGCCTGTAATTGGTCCTTATTGGTCTCTGTCCTTATGGTGGATTCTTATCGCATTTCAGACCTTGTTTTCATTCCATAGACCGTAATGCAGGTGTATTCAAATTGTTGTCATTTTTATCAAGAATTGAGAATAAGTAAAATTTGAGAATTTTCCCATCAACGTCAAGTTACAGAAAAAAATGCGCAGGAAAGAATATCTGATTTGGCATCAAAAAGGAGCTGAAAATGGTAAAACAAGAACAAGTCTTGCTCTATGTGCACGGATGACAGAAAGAAATCTGAAAAAAATTAGCATGTTTTTGATTATGAATTAGAGGAAAATTTATTACGAGATGCATTTCCAATATTTGTGAACATAACTAGCTAAATTTATTGAATGTTTGATATAAAATTGAAGAAACATTTTTTGTTTTCTCTGGAAAATGTCAGCAATCTGTCTGTATGTCTTTAGCCTAAATTTGTCCAGATGGTGGGTGGAATTATTTTGAGTGTCAAGTGTCCCTTAGTTGGATAGTACATCTGTTTGAGTGTCTGCATGTCATGGCCTCACTACAGTACTACTTCCACTTGCCTTGGTTCTGACATTGTAATGGATCATCTACCAGAACAAATTTGAAATTGTGTACTGTGAAAGAACTGGTAAAGAGTATTTCTCTTCCGACGTGGTAATCTTTTAATGTTGACTCGACGACGTAAGTTACACGAGTAGGTACTTAAAAAAAAAATGTTGTTAGAAGGTTTCCTTAAAGTTACCGAAGATAACAAGAACTTTATTCTACTTCAGCTTTTTCTCGGGTTGAAGATGCATTCAATCAAAATATTGCTGACTTTACAGGGAAATCTTGGATCACCAGTCGTTCTCAATTATGGACAAGCGAATGCCACAGCTGTGGCAATCAAAGCATACACTTTCAATGTGACTGCAACAGAAACGATGATGGCAGCTGCAAGCTTTAGTGACCCTGAAGTTTGGAGCTTTGTTTGTCAGTATGCAGAAAAATGCATTGGTGGCCCCACAACCACAACATCAGTCCCATCCACCACAACATCAGTCCCATCCACCACAAAATCAGTCCCATCCACCACCACATCAGTCCCATCCACCACAACATCAGTCCTATCCACCAGCACTCCACTCATCCCCACGACCACTCCTACTGGAGTTATCAAGAATACTACCAGCCAAAAAGTAATGAAAACACCTCCAGGACCTGACTCGCAACCTCCTCCTCCGCTGGGAAAATGGGCGAAGTTTATGCAATTCATTCGCGGCCTTTTTGCCTAATTTCTTGAATGATTTTCAGGACATCATGCAGAAAGAAAGATGGTTTCTTGCAGGAGGAATGAGTCCTGGTGGGTTTTATGTTTCTTTCCTGCATCCAAGATATATTACAGTACTATATATTCAGAAAATATGTTGAATGGTTTGATGGCTCGGCACATTTTGGCACATGACACATTTCAATCAATTCTCGAATTGTGAGGTACATTTCACTGTGATTGCGTGCAAGTGTGGGGATGAATAAAAGCACAAGCTTGAAAAACAAATTCGGGGTTATCTCTTGATTTTATGTGTGTTTCTGTCAACACTTCCTGATGGAAGAACAATGAAAAATACAATTTTCTCATCACATTTCAATGCCCTTGACTTTACAAAATTACCAGATACATAGTATTTCTCATGATGGTAGGATATATTATGATCGCTGATGCTATTTAGAATTGAAATATTGTGCCCCAGAGCTTCATGTATAGAGGCTTATCTGGTTCAGGATATATTCAGAATGTATGCTGTTCATTACCAATCTGCTCCTCCTTAATTTCCATTCATGCAGACACATGATGTGTATTTTTTTCTGTTATAGTGCTGATCCTGTTTGTGTTCATTCTAAAATCACTGCATAACTTTCATGTACTCAATGAAAGTGAATAAGAAGATTTTTGCCTTCCCAGCAAAAAATTTCGGAGTTGCGTGGCTACTCGCCAGCGTGCTGCCGGCGCGCCAGCGTTATGCGTCGGCCCGACTCCCAATGTGTCGTTTTCCATCTCCCTTGGGTGTTGGGGTACCCGTCTATTGCAGCGTCCACCCGACGCCCGCGCACCCCGCGCCAACATCATCCCCTCCCCATACCCGTTGTTTAGGTGTTGCTTTTGACTAGCAGAGTACCTAACCACGGAAGGCGTTGTAGCGTCTACCTGTCAGCTAGCTGGTTGAAATGAATTTTGACCTTATATTGGGGTAGTTTTTCCAAATCGGTGTATTATGCCGCTGTACATTTATGTCGGCTTATTGTTATTAATTTACCAAATGTGTCGTTATAAGAAATTGAGTAACGTACATAACACTAAATAATTACTTGATCATGTAAGTAAATGTTTGTTAGATAGGAAGGCGTTGTACTTCATATTAAAAACACGGCAATTCAAAACCATTAACGTGTATTTGAACATTTTGAATATCGGTTATAGTTAACAGTTCATTCTTACTTTCTTGTTATTATACTTGTTATTATAGATTCGTATTGTCTTTATAACTTGCTTTTATCATTGAATAATGCACCGAGAAGATTAACTTAACATGTATAAATGTAATTTTTGTTATGCCAATTCTTATCGGGTATCTGCGTATGGTGCGGTGAAATGTCGGTTACCTTAACTGACGTACGTCGGTATGCTTTTAGCAGACGCTGATCTCTTAATGAAATGTTAAAGAAACATGTACTTGCGCTGCAAATAAAGAGATAGGTGTTTTAATTGACATGAACATGTTGTAATGTTATTCTGTTGAAGCCGATGAAAGCCAATCGTTATTGGTGTTTGTTGTTTTTGAATGTCGGTTTACCGTGAATTTTTACCGACATGCGTCGGTATACCGTGAATTTTTACCGACATGCATCGGTATGCATTTACCAGACCTCGATGATGTCGCCGACCTTTGCTGGGAACCTATAAAAACGTGTTTTTGCTTGAATAGGTCACAAGTGCCATTGTTGGTTTTATAAGCATACATGTGCGAATGGTTCTTTTTTACCGACATGCGTTGGTATTCATTACCAGACGCCGATGATGTCGCCGAAGTGTGCATGGAACACCAAAAAACCTGTTGAATCGTGATTATGGCACAAAAGCTTGTACGATTCATGCGCAAAAATGTTCACATGTTATTATTTTAATTATAGTCATTAAAATAGTTTCTTGGCAAATGGTGGTTTGAAGTGTCAGTTATAACGTGACCTTAACCGACATGCGTCGGTATGCATTCACTAGACCCCGACAATGTAACCAATGTGTATTTGTAACCGATGTGTGTTTGGAACACTACAGTACAGTATGTATAACGTGACCTTAACCGACATGCGTCGGTATGCATTCACTAGACCCCGACAATGTAACCAATGTGTGTTTGTAACCAATGTGTGTTTGTAACACTACAGTACAGTAGGAATATAAACTGTAAAGGACAAAAACGGTTGCTTTAATTACACGTATACATATTCAGATGTTATTTTCTTAATTATACCGATTATAAGCTTGTATCAGGCATTGGCGGTTTGGAAGTGCTTTTTATTTGCAACGTCGGTATTTAGTAGTTGACAGTAATCACGCTGTCCTTTTTCATTTTCTTTTTAATTAAATGAAAAGGAAGTCAATTCACAGTATTGCTCAGTTTTTTGTTTTCCAAAACCACCCGTATCAATTTTGCGTTGAAAGAAAAAAGTACATAAATAAATACTTCAAATAGCTTTGTACACTTAGCTGCAATGCCTATCCTTATCGTCTCCTATTTTGGCATATACTTCTTCAAGGTCACTCTCTAATTCACTTTGCTCCTTACTGTTACCAATGAACACGTTCTTCAATTCTTTCAAACTT